AGGAGAGGTCCAAATACTGCATTAAAAGGAACAGACAACAAACTCAATGCCTTAAGCTTGCACATATGCCTAGTGTACAGCTAAAATAAATAACTATCTTCTACCTTATGTATGAGAGAAACGTGATAGAAGAGGACAGCTAAAGGAAGAATGCATGATAGCAATGCATAAGAGATGTGTTAGAGGTGTAAAAATGAAGTGATAACATAGATTTCTGGGCTTTCGCCTACAGGAAATTCTGCAGAGTTGTTGTTCAAATGAAAATGTAGCATTACATTTGCTACATCCAGCCTTGATAACAAAAAAAAAATAAAGAAAGTTTGTTATATTTTAGCATTTAGCTTGAGATTAGTGGCAAGCAAACAGGCAAGGCCTAGAAGGATTAGCTCAAGGTGAGGAGAGCTAGGAAGACACCTGGATAATAGGCACAAAGCAACTAATATTGAAAGCCTTCAATAGGATGATAGTCTGAGTTGTTTAAGGTAAAGGAAAAAATGAATAAAAAATGAATAAAAAATATCTTCCTCGGCAGCCACAGCGAGACCTGCTGTGAGATGAGAAAATAACCTGATAAAACCCTCAACAAGTGGGGCTCAGACTTGGGCTGAGATACAGAAATCCCTTCACAAATTCACTCTGAGCTTCCCATCTGATTGAACTGGCATCTGAAAGACAACATAAGATGCAACCACAATAAATCCCCAAAGTGCAGCCCCTTCAGATAATCTTGGTGCTTCAGCACCTGATAAAGCTATCCTTGGTTTGACAAGGTGCYGCTGATCCTACAGATACGGGTTCCTCGATCACAAATTGCAGAGGCCCTTCTGGGGCAATTTGATGTTTCTTGTTGCTGATTAGGATACTATGGTGCACCTGCTAATAACAAACGTGGAACACCAGATAATAGTAAACATGAGACATATACAAGGACACACCTAAACTGTTCTGAATTAGAGCTTTCCTCCTCTTTGTGACAGCTTGCTGCAATCCTTCCTTGCCCAGCAGATAGCCTGGCCATTTGTTTTCATTCAAGTAAAGCTTAGTTTGCTCCCTTGGAGATGAAAATGTTTCTTCCTTATATGGGTTGGAACTCCTCTCTTTGACTGACCGATTAACGCTTTATTGCCCTGGGAGCTTCCCCATTCTCTCGGGTGACTCACTGGCATTTTTAGCTCTGAAATATATCTTACACAGAACCTTATATTTTGTAATAGTTGTAACATTAGCAAATATACTTGTTGCACCCATTTTAATGGGATTCACATGCATGGGCCACTGCTGGCATTTGGCTGAGACTAGACACAAAAGTAATTGCATGAATAATCTCTTACTTTTTTTTCTCTTGCAGGCACCCTCAACACTCAGACTCTGGTGAACAGAACCCCAAGCTGTTATCTTCCATGCCGTACTATGCTAAAATTTCTCTCTCCTACTGAAGGTGTATCTCTGTACAGCACGGAAGAGTGCTGAGTGTTACTCATGTGAGAACTGAGTGAGAACAGAGTCTTTCTCATGATGTTCACTGTAAATGCACATTTCGTCAGGAACTCATGCACTTCCTGGGAGACATTCCTCTTATTCCAATTATGCACAACCAAAGCAGTATCCCTGATCCCTCCATGTCTTCTGTTTCTTGTGTAAGGGATGAAAAGCTCTAAAATCAGAAAGGAATCCAGCATGCACATGCACAGTCTTCTCTCTTGATTGGATTAGTAATGCTCTTTCTCTTTTAACTGAGCCCAGATGTACATTCTAGTAGCCGCTGTCCACCTTAATGCTTTCTTACAGCAAGTCCACATGCAGTTGGCCAACCATTTTGTGAGTTACTGTCTGTGGAAGCTGCTGAATACCTGGACTTCCCTGTGGTAGAAAGGGAAACCTGACAGAATTTGTGAGGATCTGAAAGAGGTCTTGAAACACTTTCTCATCATCCTTTTTAGTACAGAGTTGACTTTCTTCTGGGAGAACTGAGAAAAGGTTATGACCTTAAAAGCCAAAAGTTTTGCATTGCTGTTGATGGGTAATGGTGAGCAGAAGACTTTTAAAAACTGAGAACCAACCAGGAGCATCTCTAGCTGAGATGAACTCTGAGTTACAGGTCTTAGGCATCAACAGCTGAACAGTGATGTCTCTCAAACCTACATGGGAAAAACCTTGATGGAAAAGAGATCTCAGCTTCTTCTGCTGAACAATGGTGCTAAAGATGCAAAGCAGGCAGGAAGGAGGCTTATGAAATCCCAWGATAGAAATGCATGCAGGTACCATGTCCTGGTGACAAACTCTGTCAGTGCTTATTTTGATACTCCCAGCAGCAGCTGTAACTATGACAGGACAAGTAAGCAGTAAGGACAGGTCAGCCGGTGCAGTGAGTGAGCTGGCCAGTCTGAGAGACATGCTAGATGTTACCCATGCCAGTGCAGCTGCACCACAGGAAAGATGGGGACTGTAGATTTATAACATATTGTCTTAGACTCTTATTCTATGGCTTGCAGCCAAAGAATACTTGCCAAGTGCAAGGTGAAAGTCACTACTAAAGAGCAAGCCCCATGTGCCAAATGTGATTTTGTAGTGACTGCATGGCCCAGAAGGCAGAGCCCTGCAGCACAGTGAGGGAAGAACACGCGTATCCAACAAGAGCCTGGACAATCTGCCTATGGAGAAACAGTTTTTATATGGACAAAAGTCAGAGCCAATTAGTCAGATTTAATCAAAGCAGTATCCAGACAGCTGTTCACTCCAGGGCTAAATGAGGCTTTATCACACATTTTAAGAGAAAACTCCGGAGGTTGCAAAGCGCTTCTGCTTTGTCTGAATGACACCCATAGCTGATATTCCTTTGCACATAACTCACTTGGGAGAAAGCAGAGGCATTTGAGATGTGAATCTGACAATGTCACACAGAAGCAAAACTCCTTGGCAAAATAACGAAGCTAAAAAACTAGCAAAAAGCACACAGCTAGAAAACTTCCAAGCACTGGGGTATTTTAACCGAGCAGACTGAGAAAAACTGAGCTGGTTGGAAACAGATGCTAAACTGGGGGCATGAAGAGGCCAGAGCACCCCTATGGGTGCTGAAAGAGAAGCCCACAGTCTCACAAAAGACTATGGATCTCTTAGAAGGTTTGGCAGGGGGCTCAAAAATGCATGATTCCTGAATCTAGCACAAGAAAAAAAGAATAAGCCTAACTTTAATGCCAGTTGGCCATAGGATTCCTCTGGTGAAGCTCTTGAGACCTCCCAACTCATTTATGTCTTTTATTCTRTGATCCAAACAAAACATAAATGAGTCCCTAAATAAAGGACCAGAACCCAAATATCCCCCTTCCAGTCCCTCCAATATTATCTGTTACTCTGGGAGCTACATGCTTTTCTGCCCAGCAATCCAATTGCAGTAGGTAAGATGGTAAACAGAGGTGGCTTGGGAATTCTCATGAGAAGGGTTAGCTGGAAATGATATGTGGGAATCTCCAATTTGCTTACTCCAAAAGCAGGATCACTGCCAGCAACAGATTAGGTCAGCCACAATTTTGTCTAGCCAAGTCCTGAAAACCTTCAAGGATGGAGCTCCCACAACCTCTGTGGGCAATCTGTTCTAGTGCTATGTACTTCCTTCCTCAAGAAAATTGTTTCCTTGATGCCTGAGCGGAACCTCCCAAGCTGCAATTTGTTGCTCTTGTTCTTTGTTACATTGTCTGACGCTGTTGTGACGATGGTAATAAACTTCCTGAGATTATGAAGAACTGTGTTCGGGTCATTTCTTTTTATGCACTCCAACTCCATTAACTAGAGCTTTGGTCAACACAAACAACAGGCTCTAACTCTTAGTGTCTTTAACTCATCTCAARCCGATAATGTAAGTAAGGACCCATCACCATGTTGGCCCAGAACTGCATTTAACCACCTGCTTATTCATCTCTGAATTGCATTGGGGATATGTTTTCTAGCTATTACTGACCCTTTCAACTAGCACAGCCAGGAGATGCTGCTAATGAGCCAGGGATATGTCATGCTTCAAAATGAAGACTGTGTTTAAAGACAATATGCCTTCTGGAGGGTCCAACAGGACCTCAGTGCATAAAACCCAAGTGAATATTTACTTGTCAGAATTCATGGGAAGTGATTCTTCCCAAAGGCCAAAGGATCCTAAAGAAAAAAAAAAATCCTTTAGTATTCCATGAGGTCGGTAGTGACATCCCATGGCTCTCCCTGCCCTCACAGTAAGGAAGGGCACTGCTGGTGGTATTTCTGACAGCTTTGACCACACTGTGAACACAGTAAGTTCTTGCAATCCTTTCCTCCCTTGTCCCCATTGCTGTCATTCTTCCTGCTTAAGAAATCTGGTTTTACTGGTCACAAATTTGTTTGGCAACATCGTTGTGATCTCATGACCAGAAAAACAGGTAGCTAGAATGTCTTAAGTAGGAGGAAAGTGATACAAGTTTGGCAGGTCTTCAGTAGCTGATAAGCTTGTGAGTTAGGCCTGTTTCTCTACTAGCAAGACAGTGGTTAAAAGACAGAAATAGATACTATCTATTTTTGATATATTATTACACATCTTTTTYTRWTTTTTTTCCTCCAGGAACAAKCTGCCTTTGACTTGATCAACGAATTTGATCCTTGACAATGAACTGCTTCAGTTTTCCCCTAAAGGTGCCTTAGTAATMCCTGACAGTCTATCAAACATCTTGCATATATGAACTTGTATGTAAGTATTTACAGTTAAAGGAAAAGGAAATCAAGTGGTGCAAATTAAATCCTTATTGTTTTTATACTGTAAATACCTTGTGGGAGGGGGTTTTCTCTTTTTCATTCTTAAGAGACCAGAGGATCTAAAGACTAAATCATATTACAATTATTTTCTTTTATGTGATGGCAATATCATGTTAATTCCTTCGACTCTTTGGGCCCCCTTACTATCAAAATTAACTTGAGAGACAACGTCTTGCAGCASACTGGGATTGTGAGGCAGATGCATTTACCGAATCCCCACTCACACTTACCATTTGTGAAGGTGTTCACATAATACCTGCGGCCCTGCGGAGACATATAGCTCTGCCAGCCAGGGGGAAGATGGCAGTTCAAAGCATCTTCTCCTGCCTGAGGAGCTGCTTTTCTGGGTTTCTGGTGGAAAAAAAATACAACAGAGATCTATTAGATTAGCATCCAGATAATGTGAAGTCTAGCCAGACACCTATCTGGAAAAGGACCAGGATTCTAGAAACTGCAACACAACCAAAGACTTCCAGTTCATTTCTCCCCCCATCTTCCTGCTACACGGAATGTTCTGCCTTCTTGAAGAACATGTTTTACCTCCTAGCATCCTTCTCTTGGAGGACTGGGTACACAAGAGGAGGGAAAAGAAACCTTTCTATATTTAATGCTCCAAGYGCACATTTGTTAGGCATCTGAAAAAAAAAGCTATTCACGTGGTACTCATTAACTTCTACGCTGACATATCGGAGGGTCCAATAGTGGCCAAGGAGATGCTGCCCAATTTATTTTACAGGCACACTATCACCTTCAGAGATTGTCAAGAAGAAACACTCTAGAGCCATGTTGCTTATTGGAACCACAATGTAGTAAATGTATCAGCATCCTGATTAAATGCATGTAACTATCAGCACACCTATTAGAACCTTACCGATCCATAAGTAATCTGTATCCATGTCATCCAAACACAGGACAATATCTGTACCTGGGTATCACTCAGCTCATTAGGATCCGGATCATCAGTAATGATACAAATTATTGGCAGTAGTAGGAGATGAGCAACATGCTGTCACCTGCTTTCCAAACACATTCAGAACTACTGTCAGGGCTCTAGTGCCACCTCAGCTGTGCATCTCTTTGCCCACTCAGCTGCATGCCCGAGTCTGTTGAGGTTCAGGCTGCAAGGAAAAGACGGAGTTGAAGCTCAAGTGGGGCGAGTAATTGCCCACAGTACACTCATTACCTGGACCTCTTTCAGGGATGGTCTCTCAGGAGGTAGAGATTCACGAAAATTGCTTGATGATAGAATGGTAAAGAGGGTTTCATCCCAAGGGAGGCATAAAGTCCTGTCTTGTCCATTCAAAGAGGGATACGGAATGAGAGAAAGTTCTGGGAAAAGTTGTGCGAAATAAGATGTATGACCAAAAACTGCCAGCTGCAAACTCACTGGGCTACAGCTCTGAACCCAGCAGCCTCCTCATGGCTTACATCCAAAGAGCATCACTTCCCCTTTCCACATTCCCTAGAGCTAACCARGCATGCATTTTACTGTACTTCTGTTTGTTTGTTTATTAGCATTAGCTTCAAAGGACGTAATACAAAAGAACAAGGCAAAATGTGTGAAATGGAATTATTTATTCCCTGGAAGCAAATCTCTATTCAGGAAATACCTTCAGACACTGTAGGGGACAGGTTTCAAGTGACCRCACTAAATTCATTAACAGCCACAACCAATTGATAGACATAGTTTCTGTGTCTAGCTGCTTATAATCTTCAAACATCGACARGCAGATGAATAGTACTGTCAGACGGCTGCCTTTCATCTATCCTTCTCCAAGTGAGATTCTAAATTCCTGTTCCTTGTATTCCTTGAATAATAAGATCTTCCAATGGTTTTGTTGCCACAAGCCTCTTTTACATTTCTCTGATTTGAGAAAACTTGGATGAAAGTGACTTTTTCTAGGCAGTGAACTCAACAGTGCTCTTGCATTCGAGTCTCATCCAGCACGGCTGCACAGACAGGTTACAGACTATCTGCAGTCATTTGTACCCAAGGCTGTGGGAGATGAATACTCGCTCACTAGTGCAGGACAGTTAGAGCCTGTTTTGATTCAGATTTCATCAACCTTCCTTGAGCAGAGACACACAGCCTGGGAAACCCAGCTGGCCCAATATGAATTTGACAAGTCAGGGAGAAATTCGGTCCTGTATATGAAAGACAGTRGGGTGTATGAGTCAACTGCATTTTGTGTGCCAATGGCCAGCAGCATGGTACGCAGAATTAATCAGTAGGATCTTCTAACTCTATACATTTCCCTTGTGTTTCTGCTCCTTAAGGTTTAATCAAATGAGTTTATAGTCACAGTCACTCTGCTATACATGTGAGACCTCAGAAGCTTTCACAGTTTATGTTGCTAGTCAACATTTATTTTTGGTTTATCTTGGGTTAGGATAAAAGGGAAAAATTCTCTTACACATTAGTCTAGCAGAAGGCAAATTTGCTACTGCTTAGGAATGTACTATATCAAATTCTTGTCCTACTGAAGCTGACACAGCCTCATCTATCCTTCTGTGATCTCATTGGAACATGCCATTGAAAGACCCCTCTGTCTAGTACACCTTTCCCTGAAGATCCAATTTCTGCTGAAAACCTACATATCATAGAATATGACAGGCAAATTAAGTTATCCTCGTTTTCCCTCTGGATTATTTGAGATCTTCCCCAACATAATGGCATTAATAGAAGTGTCTTATTTCCCTGTGTAAATGTACTGAAGTGTCTTGTTTCACTTCTAGCACAGTTAATGATCCCCTTTAATTGTTTGCTAAGGCATACTGAAGAAAACAGAAATTCCACCATGGAGGAGGATACCATTTCTAAACCATTAAGCTGTAGATTGGGACCTTCAGCAAAATTGCATACATCTCTAGTGTTAAAGGTATCAAAGTAACTGATGGTTACAACAAACTATATATTCAGTGCAAAATGGCCCCATAAAGTGGAATCTGGCTTTTCAAATATTGGGTTCTGTTCCAGAATCTAGAAGTTACAGAATTTCACATACATATTACAGCCTCATCCATTCTGTCTTTAACGCTTTCCTTCCTTCCAGAGATGGAATCACATCTATCCTTGCTCACCATCATTCTGAAGATGGTACTACTTATATGTAGTAAGTGTGTAATACAGTTCAGTCAAGACCAGGTTTAGATGATTCATGTTACTTGTTTTCACACTATCAGCATCAGTAACCTSATGGTTATTGCAAGGACAGGTATCAACTGGGTAGTTTAAAAGAAGCTCTGCAATTGCCCAAACATCCTCTCTGTCACCTTCTCAGAGTTGCTTCAGGTTTTCCCTGATGGACCACAAGAAAAGCAGAGATCTGTTACAGACAGGTTCTGAAGACGCCCAAAGCCTAATTCAAGAGTTAGATGTAGACAGAGTAGACATCACTGTGCATATCAGCAAGAGTTAGATGAAAATTGTGTAAAGGCCAAATTTAAGTCAGTATTTAGCTAGCCTCGCTCTGTCAAGACACATACCACTTCAGAAAAGCCCACAGAGATTTTATTTTGGAGTAAATGAAATTTCTACTTTTGCTTTTAATTCTGCCAATAACAACATGCACACAATAGGAGACAATGTGAGCACTGGCATACGAGCCTGGGCTACAGCAACACAGCTTAAATGTCYTATAGTTCTGGCACAATCAGTAGCACATCATTCCAGAAATGAGACTGCCACGGAGGCCAAGGGAAGCAGCACCTCATCTCCACTTTGCCAAAACAAGAGATCCTGAAGCACGGCGGTTCTGGAGACAGTTTCTTGCTCACTTTTGCTAGGCAGATACAATTCTGCCCTAGCCAGACACTCTGTAGTCACTTCCTCTAGCATCAGCAAAGCTGGACTTGAAGCACATTTGGATACCGATACTGGAAGGCTAACCTGGCAATGAGAAACATTCTTGCTCACAGTACAAAGACAAGACAGAGAAGGAGACCAGGATACAGCACAGAGATAGGAAGCAACTGGCAGATGGTCTGTAAGAGCACAGCTCTAAAGCTGGCAGCTCAGACAGGCTTCAAACGCTCTCCCCAAACCCAGCTCTTACAAACCCTGTTCTCCTGCTATACTTATGTAAAAAGAGAGAGGCACTTCTGCTTACTTACATCTTTCTTAGATGGCTTGGCAAGACTGTGTTATTACTTTGATCTCTTGTTCCTATTTTTAGAAGAATAATTGACAGGAYAGTTTATGAGAAATGTAAATCCCAACCAAGGACAATCTACATGCAAAGGAGGCTTCATTATTAGCAGAGAGTCTTACAAACCAGCAAGCAAAGACCGAACAGCAAGGAGTGACTGCAAGTTGAAAACAGCGAGACTTATATTGAAAAGAAAGTCTCATCTGTTAATCATTAGGATAATCAGTGACTGGAATGGCTTACCAAGTGGCTCTCCACTTCTTGGAGTTCCTCCATCAAGATTAAGTGCTTCTTTCTAAATGATCTGCTATATTCCAATCACTGAAAAAAAAAGATGGGACCCTGAAATTCCCTGACTTGCACAGAAGCTCAGACTGGGTGCGATAGTAATCCTCTCTAGTTTTCAGACCTTGAAACACGGGTAGTGCCTTTGAACTGGGAGCAACATGCCACTCCCCTCGTTGTTATTTCTGGGAGTGTCACCAGACTCCACAGAGTCCTAGGCAGACAAAATGTGGACCTGAAAAGGACATGTGTAACTCGCTGTTGAGGAAACAGGAAATTTGAACAATGTAAGTGGAGAAGAGAACGTGAAACTCTGGTGCCTACATCTGTATTTGCTACTTGGAAAAGAAACCAAAATACTCAAAAATTCCAAAATCATGAACACAAGCACCTTCCTTCTATGAGAGTTCTTGAGATCAAAAGTCCATATAGGAAGAGGAACAAGAGGAATAACAAATTAGGACACAAGGAAATAGCCTCAAACAGAAGCACCAAAAGCTCCACAGGAACTTAAGGAAAATTATCTTGACAGTGAGGGTTATAGAGCACTGSAGCAGGTTGCCAAGTGAGGTTGTGGAATCTCTTTCTCTGGGGAGACTTAAAATCCGCTTGGACGCAATTCTGTGCTGCATGCTCTAGGTGACCCTGCGTGTGCAGTTGGATCTTTAAAGRTCCCTTCCAATCTTAATGATTTTATGGTTCTATAAAGAGCACATAATGAGGTACACAAGAATCAACAGCCCAATAGGTCTCATTCTCCATGTCAAGCAACGGTTTTACTTCGCAGTCTGTAGAGAGACTAGAGAGACACAGGCAGGAGTCTGGGCCAGATATCTACTCTATGCAAAAAAAAAGTGATGGCCTGCATGTCACAGTCCTGTCCACTTTCTGTTAGCCACTGTAGAGCAGGGCGTGCATGACGAGCAGGGAGGCACCAGCACTCTGGCACTGGGGCTCCCATACTAGCTCTTATGACTTTCTGTCTAGACTGTTTTTCTCTCTTTCTTCTTGATCAAGTTAGCAGCAGTCTAACTCRCTGTTTCTTTGCAAACCAACTTGCAATTTGGTCTCCTTCCAACATGATTAAAAAAAAAAGCCAAATGAGATTTTATGCAGTGAAGGGCAACAAGAGTGAAGAGCCTGCAGACATCAGTCCATCCTATGCTTGCTGACCCAGTGTGATGAGTTCAGCCTTGCTTAATAGAGGAAAATCACTTCCCATTTTCAAACTGCAGGAAATCCCCTTCCCCCTTCAAAGAGAGGTTCTGGGGAGGAAACATCTGTGCACTTAACAGCCTGAGCTCTCTGACCATGTATTAGATGTATTAGCTCACAGCACACTCTGGCAGTGTGCAGGCCAGGAGCTCTTCCAGATACACAACCCAAGGTAAAGCAAAACAAGCCCCAAACCACATACACAGGCCATGAGCAGCCTGATCTAGCCTTAAACAGRGGGTTGGATCTGAAACCTCCAGAAATACCTTCCAGTTTGAAATGTTCTGTGCTTTCATGATCGTATTTCGACAAAGCACCCAGCATGAAGCAAATTAATAGGATATGTCTAGCTGCGAGAAAGACCTGATATAAACACAATCTCCATACACTTACCTGCTTTGCCACTTGCTCAGTCTCATGTGGACCACTGCAGACCCAACAGCAAAAAGAAAGGCTTCAAAGGTCTCCCCTGCAGTATCCTGCCCAGCACGAGCAGATCACTATTAAGAGTGGAAACTGGACAAAAAGTGCAGGGGAAACTCCGTGCAAGAGGCAATATGAGGACACAGAAGGGAAAAAAAATGCTGTGAATTGAACCAGCACTAGAACAACCCTGTCCTGAAGGGAAAAGTCTGCTCTGCGCTGACATTAGTGGGTTGATGTTTCCCCCCTATCTGGAGTTTTCATAAATAAATATGTAACTTGGCAAAGGCTACTCAGAATCTGTGGAGCTGGGAATGTGGTTACTCAGGAGTGTGAAACAGAAGTAGGAGAAAAACAATGCAGTCAGAAAATCAAGRTCTGTTTCTGCATGCAGCAGATGCTAGAAACTGGATTTGCTAGTGACAGAAGCCTACAGAAAGCCCTAGGAGACAGAGATGCCAACACTGATTCCTGTAGGCATCCTGAGCTTGGCATGAACATCCCAGCACTGAGCAGCACCTCACATACCCTCTCCAAACTGGGCACAATGATCCCAGTATTATCTCATGCCTATATGTACCCTGGAGCCCAGTATCTGGACCCGGGCAGAGGGAAATGCCCAGCAGTCTCTTAACTCCTCCGGCATTACCAGCACTCCCTCTCTCTAGTGAGTCATTCTGTATTTTCTTCTTTTTTTTTTTTTTTTTTTTTTTTTTTTTAATGCAATCTTTCTTGCTCAACATTTGGTTTCCATGGTGTCACATACACTGTGTGAAACAGATTTATATTTAGAAAGTGGAACGAGTCATATGACCTCTCCCAGTTGTTATGGCAACCAACACAACTCCTGCTTTAGCTGAGTGTGATGGCACATGGCTGCTCGGACTAAGTCACCCTCCTTGGGTGGCCGTATGGATATTGGAAACAGTCTCACACCTGTGCCAAATGCTTGAGTGTCTCCAAGTCCTGCTTTCCCTGGCAGGCTGGCGCAATGGGATGAGGTAGGCCAACCAAGCACTCCCTGCTTCACCATCTTCCAAAGCCAGCCTGCAAGGACAGCTGTCATTTTTACCAGCTTCAAAAATCCCCTTGCCTAGTTAACTCTACTCCTTGCCACCCCAAACTCTTCCTTGGTAGGAAGATCTGCCATCTTCCTGCCATTCTATCTCTGCATAAGCATGGTTGAGACACRCTCCTGGAGAACCAAGTAGTGCCAATCCACAGGGGTCCACCCTTGGGCAAACTCCCTTGCAGCTCCGCCCACCCATATTTTCCATTTTGGTTTGCTCCACATTCCCATCCCCAGACTGGGACTGTCAGTTAACAAAATCCTCACTCATCTTCCACCCAAGATCCAGGTATGGTGCAGACGTGTCCAGGGCTTTGTTTCAAGGTACCACTGAATACAAGGTGCCATAAGGTACTCTGCTTGCAGAGAACTGGCCTTCTGTGACTGGAATACTTGCATCTGCCAGTACCCTAAACTTGAGAAAAGCAAAGTGTTTGTGAAAGATAAATSCTACCTGAACCCATAGGTGGGCTGGGTGATGTTTTCTGCATTAGAGYCATTCAAGAAAACAGAATGGATGAGGAGAGACACTCTTTGGTCCATAAATTCCTCATAAACATCTTCAAAATAGKTGCTGCCAAACCAGAGCTGACTAATCCAAGTAACCCAAGAGCTGCTTCAGCCTCTCTCTTCCTTTCCAGCATGTCTAGTGCATGAGACCATACGAGGGGGCCAAACTGAGCATATGGAGACACTGCAGCAGTGTCCGTACCTGACACCTGCACCRTGCAGTGGGTCTCAGGAGACCCTTGCAACCAAGCAAGAAGTGGCTTTGGAGAGACAACCACTCTGCCCAGCCCCTCTCTGGGCAAAGCAGCAGTTCAAGGAAGTGCTTGGCAGTGGCTATGGCCACATTTTGGCTAAGGACAGGGAAGTTGGCATGTATAAGAGAGTAGGGCAAACAGGAAAGACAGGCTGTTGGGGAGATTCCGTTTTGGGAAGATCATGAGAATGGGGCCCTGATTTGAGGAGAATAGTTGGGAAGAGGACAACAGGCTTGTGTCTGGCTCCTGATCTGGGGAGCAGCAACCGTGACAGAAAGGCAAGTGCAGCACACAAAGGAAGAAGCTTGGCTGCTTGCTTTCTTATTTCTTGCTCTGCCTGAGCTCTCAGCATGCTCCCAAGCACATTTATCACTTTCCTTTTCAGTTTGCTCACAGCCAGTGTTCTATCCTGTGACAGTGTTCAGCACTATGTGACAGGGCTGTAGAGTCCTGGCACGGAATTAGCAACCAAGAAGGGAGGGTGGGGAGCGGCGGGTATAACCTTCATAGCAGGCGCCAAAGACCTGAACATTCAGATGGGGGCACTACCTGCTCTGAAGAATGATTTTCTGGAATAGGGTAGCTATGGATACAATATAATCCTGTAAGTATAATGAATATATCCAGTGAGAGCTCAAGAATCACCCTCTAGGAAAATACATGGTCTTTTGTTTTCCCTTCCTGTGCTAATAGACAGGAACTCATTTTATGGACAAATTTATCCCCTTGTTTCTTTTCAACAGCTTTGGAATAAGTCTTCCTCCCTCCAGGCTAGCATTATTGAGCTGAGCTATTCATGGAAAGATGATGGCTACTGTGGAACATAAATATAGAAAGAGTTTCAGGGTGGTCATATTGGSTCACAGTGGGGAGTTGCTACCTGGAGCTTCTTAATTGGGACCTGGGGAGGACACACACAGACACCAAGGATGCTCAACACAAGCAGATTGTTGATAAGCAGATATGGTAAAAGGCTTCACCTCCCATGCACAATGGGGCACAGAAGAACAATGACAGGTGGGACCCCAATAACCTAATCAGAGCGACAAGGACCATGCTCCAGCTCCTCCCAGGGCTGTCTCAAAGAGCCATCAGTCCCATTGTCTGGTGTGAAGCCCATCAGGATGACTCAATGGAAAGGCTCTCTAGATCATCTTGCAGACTGAGGGCGCTTATTTGGAATGGCATGGGGAGGCAGCTCACAGCGTYTTTGTTCAAGGACAGCAGTGTACAAACAACTGGAATGAGACTGTGGGCCTCAGGG